GTCTGTTCCAGACTGCATTTGTCTTTTGCCGAAGCTCAGACTGTGGCACAGGATCGGGAACGTTGGAAGCTCTGTCTTACGCATCTGCCTCCATGACCGGAAAGGAGAAGCGGCGATGGAAGATGAAGATGGGAACTCGATCGGCCCAATTGAGAAATGCAGAGAAAATGTTCAAATATCAGGCAGTCGTGGCGTGCACAAATGGTCTCCATAGGCAACTAGGATCAAGGGAGGCACTGCACCTCTGCTAAGCAAATCTTATTAAAGAAATCGACATGCTAACTGTAAACAATTTAACATAACAACTGCTGCTGGTTTCTTTGATTAACATTTTCAATGTTCGTGCGATAATTTTAACGTCTTGCAAAAATTCAATCAACTCTTTTTATATCCTATTTCGTTGCAAATTTTTCTGTTTCAGGTCAAAATTGACAGGTAATTATGCCTATTTATGTTTGTTGTTTGTATTTGTTTTTGATTCAGTTTTGCACGTTTCTCGGACGTTCATTACCAATATTATAATCACATTACTTAATATGATGAATGCAAGTAGCAAATTAGGATTAAAAAGGAGAACGGAAGACGATGGAAAAATGAAATGGACGGACAGAAAACAAAATCCAGCGTTATTGTGAAAATACGCTTGTGGTTAAAAACGAATAACACAAACAATGTGAAATGAGCATGTAAAGGAGAGGCATATAAAAAACATCTAGAAGAAAATATGATTGGCTGAAAATTAACACTGATTTTCATTTGTGACGCCGCTATGCTCGAAAACATAACATGAACTTCAGTTGCCTACATGATTACGTCGGACTGCATAAACAACGGACCGACTTCTGGCCGGCGAATGATCGGCGTCACTCACCTGACTGACGACTGTCTCTTCAGAACGACCAATGGCTTCTAACCAACGTTCGCGAAGTACGGCAGGACGCTTCGGGATGCGGTAAAAATGGCGGTTGTCCTCCTGACCGCGGTAGCGAGAACGAAATTTGCAATTCGGAAATCCGCAAGTTGTTGGCATCACAGGCGCCACACGGGGCGCTGAAAACCAGAATAGACGTTAAGCACAAAAAAGTGTAAATATTCATCACAAAGAAAGAATTAAAAAAAGTTTAAACTAACAGTTCAGTTTAAAGTTGACACATTATATGAGTTTAAAACTGGGTGACAATTGTAAGAAATATTAATGAGGAATGGGCCATGAAGCTGCGAAACGAAGAGTAGGCTGGAACCAACTCTGGAATGTGGTATGATGATAACTTGAACAGCTAGTCAAGAAGTCAGTCTGACAGTGGAGAAAAATAAACATTATCGCACGATTTACCTTTGCTGATTCCATATTCAACGAAGCATAACACACATGCTGATCTACCGCTGCGGCACCAAGAGCCAAAAAAGCCGATAGTAAATTTTTACTATCGAAGCATTTCGCCAGCATGCAAGTAGCATTTGCGATGTTCATTTCCACCGTGTTTCTTATAGATGTCCTCATCCATAAAGGATTTAATGTTGATTCCAGGTAGCAAAACGAGGTAAGTGATGTATGACGGGAAGCAGAACTCAATCTTTACAGTCATTCCTTGGGATTTATTTAACAGAATGAAAGATTCAAATCCACAAATTAGACGGCACAAATTTTGAAAAATCTACTTCTACTCATGCTCGATTGCTATCGGCTCTGTTTTAAATTCGTAACACAATGAATGTTTTCAGAAAGCAAAATTTGATCTTTCAACAGAGCGAAAGTTTCAGATTTATATAGCAGCGCCAGCAAAACAAATGTCACCATTCGAAGGGTAATAAGCTTAACTTTCATAATGCTTTGTCCAAAGGCATTTTTTACATAGTTCAAGTTACAAATCCACAAAGCTGATAGCGTGTCATTAACATTTATAAAAAGCAAACTTTCGAAGTCAATGACATTCTTTTCATATCCACTTTAATACTGTCTAAATTTCGTTCATCTTCATCTTGCATCGCCGCCTTTCCTTTCGGATCTCGGAAGAAATTTCGTAACCATAATTCAATAAAGCGAGAAAATGCTTATAGGAAACAAAACCTTGCTTTACAACGTTGGAGTGCAATCAGATTTGTAAGATTTTGTGGTTCAAATCCATTGATGGAAACAATTACCACCAAAGAGATCGTTACAAACACGTTTCGATAAAAACGCACTAAAATTAACAGGCCAAAATTACGTTATGCAGGCAGCAAACAACATCGCCCAATACTTTAAAGTGAGTGGCATTTAACAGTGCAGTAAAAGATCTTATCCGAATATACATGACTTTGAATCAGTCGGTTATTTTCGATGACCGATTATTCTTTCTTGAGAAGCGGAGACAGACGCGTCAGACACTTCTTCCCCCGTCCCGATCCTGTGATCCTTTGCCAGCGTTTGAACTTCGCCAGAATATAACCTGCGCCAGGAGCAGAGTATTACCAATGGAGAGACTTGTCAAAAGTTATACTTTCCGCCCTGCATTTTCGGCTGGTCGACCGGGCAAGCAGAAATCGCAGGCATGCCCTAAGATTGTTTCGAAGGAGCTGGTCAGAGGCTTTCTAGGGGTCAACACGTAAAACGGACGATCGAACTCATACGACATCTCAACAATCTGCCGTAGGGCTCATATCTCGTCAGATGTGTTTCGGCCAGCCAGGAAGCAGAACTGGTATTCTTGTGCTTTGTAGTCAGTTATTCCGCAGCATCTCCTTTTCTACCAACTTAACGGAAAATTTACAAGAGAAGCTGAAAAAAGTAATGCCCAGACAATTGGAGCACTGCGTGTTCCCCTCCCTGAACACGGGTACTATAAACCCCATTTTTCAGGCCTACAGTTTTACAGACACGTGTAAGCCAACAAATCTCACTCTCTTAACCATTTAAGAATTTAGCATTTCAAGGCGGATTTCATCAATTACAGCAGCTTTTCACACCTTGTGCAATTTCATATACACAA